CCTGTAGAAGGAGGTGAGGACTGAGCTTCCAGACCAGCTCGTCTCAGCCGTCTGAGGAAGTAGAGTCTCTGATGAGCTTTCTTCATCAGGCTGGTGGTGGTGTTGCTCCAGCTGAGGTTGTTGTTCAGGTGCACACCCAAGTACTTGTAGCTGGAGACCACTTCCACTGCAGATCCTCTTATATTGGGGGGTGGGGGTTGGTGTTTGTTCCTTCTGAAGTCCACGACCATCTCCTTCATCTTCTTCACATTGATGTGAAGGTTGTTCTTCCTGCACCAGCTCTCCAGGTGTTCCACCTCCTGCCTGTAGCTGGACTCATCGTTGCTTGTGATGCCTCTCACCATTTTCTTGTAGCCAGAAAATAAATTGCTTTAGATCTGCACATAGCTGACTGTTGATAGATTCAATATTTGAGCCAGACAAGAAAAGAGCAGAATCATCAGCATACATTAAAATACTAGAGTTGTTAAATATTTTGGGAAGGTCATTTATGTATAATTTTTAAAAAGCAGTGGACCCAGTATACTACCCTGCGGGACTCTCATAGAACAAGGTAGTGACCGGGATGTACAACTCCCATGTTTCACGACTTGGCACCATCAGTTAAATATGAAGAAAACATTTGTTCTGCAGTAAATAAAACTTGAGAAGAAGTCAATTTTTGTTAGCATATAATGCTAATATTTAGCTGTTTTGTGCTAAATTTGCCTTTCAACTGTTTTTCAACAGTAAGCATTCACACTGCATTTTCACAGGAAATGCAATTTGTCTCGTTTCTGTGGTTTGCTCTGTTTTAACTAGAGTTGGCAACACCAACGTGCCACCAGCTGTATAAAAGATGTACATTATTTAATTATAAGTCTTACAAAACATGATTTCAAACTTTTGAATTTGTCTGAATACCCTTTCTATCCCAGCCATCCCGCAGGAGAAAGAAGTTTTCAGGGAACCTTTATCCTGGCGTTATCCTGACCCACCAGCTGAGGAGAAGCCTCGGTTCCCTCCCAGCTTTGAGCTGAAGACTCCAGCTCCAGCGCAGAGCGTCAGCGCCTCGTGTGGGGACAACTCTGTTCGCGTGGAGGCCAAGAAAGACCTGCTGGGCATCGGTAAACCGGTCCTGGCTGCTGACGTGACTCTGGGAGGATGTCCTGCCACCGGAGAAGATCCTGTGGCCCAAGTTCTGATCTTTGAGTCAGAGCTGCACGGTTGTGGCAGCCAGCTTCTGGTGAGGGGGGGGGGGGGGTGTTATTGGTTAAATGGTATGGTATAAAGTTTATTCATTTTAAAAAAGTACAAAACAATTCCATAACAATATAAAAAGATACAAGAGATTTAAAATGAAAGGCAGCAGAAAGAAGAAAAAATCTTATTATATCTGCCCCTTTTTTCAAACAATTATTTAATAATTTTCAAGTAACAGAACAAAATTAATAACTCTTTCTAATTTTTATAATTCTAATACAAAAAACACACTAAGCTACTTCATATATATTTTTTAACAATTCAGTTTTGATCTTTTTCTTAAATGTACACATTGACTTGTCATTTTTCACATCACTCTCTAGAACATTCCACAATCCAACTCCTTGGATTGAGGTAGACCTTCCCTTCAGACTAGTTCTGAATTTTGGTTTGACAAATATCTCTATCCCCTTAAGATTATAACAACTTTGTCTTTTAACAACATTTCTTTGGATATTTAATGGTAATGTGTTATTTTGAGCCCTATACATAACTGATAAAATACTGTAATCTACCAAATCATGGAACTTCAATAAGTTCAGTTGATAAAATAATGTGCTTGATGGGTGACTGTAATGCTTTCTGGTGATAATTCTTACAGCTCTTTTCTGTAAAATAAAAATAGGTTTTGTAAATGTTTTACACGCTTTCCCCCAAACATCAATGCAATAGATTAAATGTGGAACAATGATTGTGTTATACAACATGTACAGAGCTTTATCATTTAATAATTCCCTGACTTTGTATAGTACTGCAATAGATTTAGATATTTTTATTCTTACAGAATTGATGTGATTTTTCCATGTTAGCTGTTCATCAATGATTACACCCAAAAATTTCATCTCATTAACTCTACAAATCTCAACACCCTCAATTTTAAATGGATTATCAACAGTTCTCTTTTTGTTACTAAATATCATGTATTTAGTTTTATCTAAATTTAATGATAATTTATTAAGTTTAAACCAAGTTTGTATTTTATCAAATTCTGTCTTCATCAATTTCAACATCCGTTTTACATCTTTACCCAAACAACAAAATGTGGTGTCATCTGCAAAAAGGACACATTTGAGGAGTCCTGATACATTCACTAAGTCATTCACATATAAAATAAATAACTTTGGTCCAAGTACAGAGCCTTGAGGAACTCCACAAGTGATATTGCACAGGTCAGATCTTACACCATTTATTTGTACAAACTGTTTCCTATCTTTTAAATAGCTAGATACCCAGTGTAATGCTGGTCCTCTTATACCATATTTATTTAATTTTTCAAGGAGAATAGTGTGGTCAATAGTATCAAATGCTTTTTTAAAATCAAATCTAAGGTCTGCCTGGTTTGACACTAAAGACTAAAAGCAGTCAACGGTTTACTGGTGTTGGGTTTAAGTTACTAAGTTAGTTTGGCTTGTCTGTGGTCTAATTTCCCTCCACAGTTGGTCTTCAGGGGTGTGGTCCAATTCACAGCACACGTAAGGAAACGAAGAACTTCTTCATGATGACCTTTTGCCATCTAGTTGCAGCCCTGTTAGATGCAGGCTATCCGACTATAAAGTCTGTTCTTTTCCACATAAACGTTGGCACAATCTGTAAAGTGAATAAAATACTGTACAGCAGCCGAACTCTGGGACAGCTCAGGAAACCCAAACCGACCCTAACTATAGGATTTAGCAAAAAGGAAAGTCTTAATCCCAGTCTTAAACTGGACAATGTGTCAGCCTCATGGACAGAAACTGGAAGTTGGTTCCACAAGAGAGGAGCCTGAGAACTGGAAGATCTTCCTCCCATTCTGCTGCTGGAAACTCTAGGAACCACAAGTAAACCTGCAGCCTGAGAGCGAAGTGCTCTGTTAAGAAAATATGGAACAAGAAGATCTTGATAATAAGATGGAGCCAGGTTGTTGAGGGCTTTGTAGGTTAGAAGTAAGATTTTGAATTCTGTTCTGGATTTGACAGGGAGCCAATGGAGAGAAGCTAAAACTGGAGAGATATGATCTCTCCCAGTAACTCCAGTTAAGACTCTGGCAGCAGCATTTTGGATCAAGTGAAGACGTTTTAAAGAAGTATTTGGACATCCAGATAATAAACCATTGCAATAGTCCAGTCTAGACGTGACAAATGCATGGACCAGTTTCACTCAAGTGCTGACTGGCTGTAAACATGATATAAACTCAAATCTAGTCATGCTAGCTAAAGCACTTTTCTTTACTAGCACAACAAATGTGAAAAATCATGTTAAATGGAGTTCATGTTTAAATTTTGCAGATGTCCGAGGAGACGTTCTCCTACGTGTTTACACTTCTCTACACGCCTAGTCCACTGGGTAACATTCCCATTGTTCGAGGGAGAGAGGTCTCCATCAGCATCGAGTGCCACTATCAAAGGTTGTCCAAAAAACCTCCGTACATCAAAGCTGTTCAGTTTTTAAGGTATTTACCCATAGTTCTTTTTGCAGAAAGCAAGATGTGAGCAGTAGTCTCCTGAAACCAACGTGGACTCCATTCACTGACAGCAAAATTTCTGAGGAAAGTCTCTACTTCTCCCTAAAACTCATGACTGGTAGGATTTTACTTCAGTTCACAAACGACTGAGTTTTGTGTAAAACTCTTTCCAGAATCATAATAAACCTGACATAAAACTTTCCTTTTCAGATGACTGGCAGTTCACACATCCTAATCCTCACTTCTTTCTGGGGGATAAGCTCAAGTTTGAAGCTTCGGTCAAGCAGTTTCAGCACATCCCTCTCAGAGTGACTGTGGACAGCTGTGTGGCCACTGTGGTCCCATATGTTGACACCGTACCTCGATATGCTTTTCTGGGGAACAGTGGGTGAGTTTATCCAACTAAAGCCCAAGTGTGGCCACAACACTGAACTCTTGTAGAAGGAGGTCCTCCCCCAGAAAATTTTGAATAAAATAGATGCCATTTCCTGCATTTTGGTGTATTTTACAAAGGTTTATTACAATATTTATTGTATGTAAGACTGATCACCCTCCTGACACTGAACAACATACACAACATTACTCTGTTTGTGCCGGGGGACTGGATCTTTGGGATGAACCAGTCTTTAATGTATTTTGGGGTTTAAAAGCCACTGGGACGTTGTGTTTAGAAAATAAACGTCTCAGTTTCTCTGATACTCCCTCAACATATGGAATGACCACTGGTCTGGGTCTGGGTTCCTCCTTTTCACCTGTTGGCTGACTGGAGTCCTGTTTGGGTTTCTTCTCTGCTTTCAGGAAGGCCCAGTTAGGATATCCACATTGCTCTAGAGCCTGTCTTGTGTAGGATTTCTCCTTCTGCCTGGCTCCTGAGCTAGTGGGGACGCTGTCTGCTCTGTGGTACAGAGTCCTGATGACTCCTAACTTGTGCTCCAAAGGGTGATGGGAGTCAAACTGCAAATACTGGTCTGTGTGGGTGGGTTTGCGGTACACCTCAGTTTGCAAATGTCCTCTATCAGAGACTGACGTCACAGCCCAAGAAAGCCAACCTGCCATTTTTTACATCTTCTCGTGTGAACTTGATGTATTTATCCACAGAATTGATGTGGTCAGTGAAATGTTGGACTTCCCGAGATTTAATTTTAACCCAGGTGTCACCAACATACCTGAACCAATGACTTGGTGGTGTCCCTGAAAACAACGTCAAGGCTCTCTTTTCTACCTCCTCCATGTACAGGTTGGCAACAATAGGAGAAACTGGAGACCCCATAGCACACCCATGTTTCTGCCTATAATATTGCTCCCCATATGTGAAGTAGGTTGACTGCAGGCACAGTTTCAAGAGTTGAGACAGTTGTTCTGTGGAAAGCGTGGTCCTGCTGCTCAGAGTGGTGTCTGATTTTAATCTTAAACTGACCACCTCTACTGCATCATCAACAGGAATGCACATAAAGAGTGATGTGACATCAAAAGAGACCATTGTTTCATCAGTCTCCATGATGACATCCCTCACCTTATCCACAAAGTCCATGGTGTTCTGTATGTGGTGTTCTGAGCTGCCAACTAAAGGGATGAGTACAGACGCCAGATATTTGGAAACATTGTAAGTGACAGAGTTAATCATGCTAACAATAGGTCTTAAAGGTACACCTTGTTTGTGGATTTTAGGTAAACCATACAGACTAGGTGTGGCCTCCCCTGGGTACAGTCTGTGGTACAGAAAACGGTCAATAGCCTTGTCCTGCTCCAAAATTTTCAGGCAATCTATTAACTTTTTCTTGTAACCACTTCCTGGATCTCTTTTCAGAGGTTCATAAGTGTTTAAGTCACTAAGGAGTGTCATAACTTTCTCATGATAGTCTTTCTGGTTCAAAATCACTGTGCACCTTCCTTTTTCTGCTGGGAGAATGATGATGTTTTTGTCCTTGCTAAGAGTGGTGAGTGCATCCCTCTCCTCTCTACTGATGTTGGAAGGTGGTGGTTTGGCATTGCTGAGGCAGGATGAAACTTTGATTCTGAGCTGTTCTGCTTCACCCTCTTTCATTTTGTTGTTGCGGATGGCTGACTCAGTAGCTGTGATCATCTCCACCAGAGGAATTCTACTTGGTGCAACCGCAAAGTTCAGTCCCCTGGCAAGAATCTCTGTCTCCGGCTGGGTGAGCTGTCTGTCAGATAAATTCTTCACCCACTTTTCTGTCTCCCTGGCATGTAATTGACTAGAGTATTGTCTTACACTGAATGTGTTGATGTTGGAATTGTGATGGTGTTGAGTTATTAAGTTAAACTTGTTTTGTTGTCGAGTCTTGGACTTGACATGCTGTGCTAAGCGTGCCTGATCTGTACAGTCCAACACTTGCTGAAGTGTGGTCTGATCTAGACACATAGTTAGTTTCTGTTTAATGTGCTCTTCTTTGGCCTTCAAGGCCTCAATAGTAAAATTGGTCTGTCTCACCCGTTCATTCAGCAGCTGGGTTTGTGCCTTCTGAAGGATCTTGCTTGCCCGGTGCCCGCTTACCCAAGATGTTATTTCCAGGCTCTTGGGAATGATGCCACTTTGTCGACATCTGAGGTTGAATCGCAAGTGGTTCCTGTAGTCCATTGTAGACCAGTGGTCATTCCATATGTTGAGGGAGTATCGGAGAAACTGAGACGTTTATTTTCTAAACACAATGTCCCTGTGGCTTTTAAACCCCAAAATACATTACGGCAAAGACTGGTTCATCCCAAAGATCCAGTCCCCTGGCACAGAGTAATATTGTGTACAGGTCCTTCTCAAAAAATTAGCATATTGTGATAAAGGTCATTATTTTCCATAATGTAATGATAAAAATGAAAATTTCATATATTTCAGATTCATTGCACACCAACTGAAATATTTCAGGTCTTTAATTGTTTTAATACTGATGATTATGGCATACAGCTCATGAAAACCCAAAATGCCTGTCCCAAAAAATGAGCATATCATGAAAAGGTTCTCTAAACAAGCTATTAACCTAACCATCTGAATCAACAACGTAACTCTAAACACCTGCAAAAGATTCCTGAGGCTTTTAAAAACTCCCAGCCTTGTTCATTACTCAAAACTGCAATCATGGGTAAGACTGCCGACCTGACTGCTGTCCAGAAGGCCATCATTGACACCCTCAAGCAAGAGGGTAAGACACAGAAAGAAATTGCTGAACGAATAGGCTGTTCCCAGAGTGCTGTATCAAGGCACCTCAGTGGGAAGTCTGTGGGAAGGGAAAAGTGTGGCAGAAAACGCTGCACAACGAGAAGAGGTGACCGGACCCTGAGGAGGATTGTGGAGAAGGGCCGATTCCAGACCTTGGGGGACCTGTGGAAGCAGTGGACTGAGTCTGGAGTAGAAACATCCAGAGCCACCGTGCACAGGCGTGTGCAGGAAATGGGCTACAGGTGCTGCATTCCCCAGGTCAAGCCACTTTTGAACCAGAAACAGTGACAGAAGCGCCTGACCCTGGGCTACAGAGAAGCAGCACTGGACTGTTGCTCAGTGGTCCAAAGTACTTTTTTCGGATGAAAGCAAATTTTGCATGTCATTCGGAAATCAAGGTGCCAGAGTCTGGAGGAAGACTGGGGAGAAGGAAATGCCAAAATGCCAGAAGTCCAGTGTGAAGCACCCACAGTCAGTGATGGTCTGGGTGTCATGTCAGCTGCTGGTGTTGGTCCACTGTGTTTTATCAAGGGCAGGGTCAATGCAGCTAGCTATCAGGAGATTTTGGAGCACTTCATGCTTCCATCTGCTGAAAAGCTTTATGGAGATGAAGATTTCATTTTTCAGCATGACCTGGCACCTGCTCACAGTGCCAAAACCACTGGTAAATGGTTTACTGACCATGGTGTTACTGTGCTCAATTGGCCTGCCAACTCTCCTGACCTGAACCCCATAGAGGACCTGTGGGATATTGTGAAGAGAAAGTTGAGAGACACAAGACCCAACACTCTGGATGAGCTTAAGGCCGCTATCGAAGCATCCTGGGCCTCCATAACACCTCAGCAGTGCCACAGGCTGATTGCCTCCATGCCACGCTGCATTGAAGCAGTCATTCATGCAAAAGGATTCCCGACCAAGTATTGAGTGCATAACTGAACATGAT